AGCGGGGCCGGCGGTGTCCCCCCAGGTGCGCGTGGCTCTCAAAGTACCAGGACAACGGGCAATGGCTGCAGATCGACCTGAAGGAGGTGAAGGTGATCTCGGGGATCCTCACACAAGGGCGCTGCGATGCTGACGAGTGGATGACCAAGTACAGCGTGCAGTACCGCACCGACGAAAACCTCAACTGGGTTTACTACAAAGATCAGACCGGGAACAACCGGGTTGGTAGACTTTGTGCTTCAGCCACTGGTGGGCTGGGGGGGCACGTCTGGTGATATGAAAGCATTGGGTCTCAGTAGGGAGGTGCCCCAAGAGGGGTTCCTGTGGAAGCAGCAGGGTGGATGGGCCCAGTGCTTACCCCACATGTGGGGGCAGCATGGAGAGGGGTGTCCCCCCCACCGTGGCAAGAGCAAATGCCACACTGACCAGCCACAGAAGGAAAAAATGCATTTTTTTGCTAATGATGATGGTGGAGTCTAGGATAAACTCGGCAGGATAGAGGCATTAGCTGGCATCGCAGGGGAAGTGGCACCTCCATGGTAAAACCCCTTTCTTGGCTGGGGCCGCACAATCTCAGCTGTGCCTGGGCACTGCAAAATGGGGGGTCCTGCTCTTGCCTTAAGGCCAGGACTAGTGCACAATGCTGATGCAGAAGAACCCCTGAGACAAAATTCGCAACTAGTTAAGTCACAACCCACCGAGCTGTTTCCATGTTGCACTTAGTGGTTGGTTTGAAGCGAAAAATTGCCCTGGGGGGAACCTACAGTGGTGCCTGTGGGCCTCGTGCAGCCCAGCTGGGCTGGGGGATGCCACAGATGCTGCCTCCCAGGCATCCTCCCGTGTCCATCCATGGGGATGGCCCCGTCACAGCGTGGGAGGCTCTGATGGCTTTGCAGGGTTCCCACAGCCCTGGGGAGATGCTGAGCTTTCTCCAAAAAACAGATCATGGCAGTGGGAGACATGGCAGTGTGGCCAAGCAATGGGGAAGGGTCTCCAAATACAATTTTTTGGTCTATATTGGCACGTCTGGGAGCCTGACTCATGAACTGCAAACAGCCAGGGTCAGGCACACTGACTCCAAACACATGGTGCCCTGCTGGACGAAGGCGAATGAGAGAAAATGGGGTGAGATTAAGTCTAGCCTAACCAGAAAAAATGGAGGAACAAGGAGGGAAAGTCACTTACTCAGAAAACCCAATCAGCATGACAAAAATATTCTGCACCCTGATATTTTTCAAGTCTTTTATTTTGAGGGTGGGAGAGGGGGGCCTTCCTCCTCCTCTGCTCTGCAGAAGCACCCCAAATTCATGAGGCAGGATTTCCAGCTCCTTAATCGCGACCTCCCCCCAGGTTTTCTACGGCAACTCGGACCGCTCGTCCTCGGTGCAGAACCTGCTGCGGCCGCCCATCGTGGCCCGCTACA